GCCCGTGCGGTAGTAGTTGAGCACGTAGGCGAAGACACCTGGGTGCCGATCGAAGAAGAACTCGTCCGAGCCGGGGTCGTAGTCGAAGCGCGCCGCCGCTTCAGGCTCGGTCAGACAGGCCAGCCGCGTCCCCGGCAGGGTGCGCAGCGTCGAGCGGTACGTCTCATGGCGCACGCCGCCCACGTTGATCACGATCTTGCCGCTGTCGCCACCGCCGCCGCTGTGCCGCCCCATGGCCGCCGCCGGCAGCCCGGGGCATGGCTCGGCGCGCCGGTCCCCGGGCCCGCGGGATGCCGGGGGGCCCGCCGGGGACGCGGCGGGGCCGGGCTGCGCAGGTTGCTGCTGCTGCTGCAGCGGCGGCGGTGGCGGCGGCGGGGGCAGCGGCGGAGGGGAGTCGGGAGGCTGCGGCGGCTGTGCCGGCTGCTGCTTGGCCCCCTGGCGCCCGCGGAAGGACGAGACGCAGACTGAGCTCAGCATTGGACGGGGGGCGGGGCTGAAGGGGCGGGACCTTGGTGGGCGGGGCCTTAGGGAAGAGACAGGCGTGATTGGGTGGGAAAACTATAAATGACGGGGCGGGGCCTAAGTAGGAGAGCAACCTAAGTGATTGGCCTGGAGGGTGGTGGGGCGGAGTTGAAGCAGAGGGAAGGGCCGGGACCCTCTAACCCGGTCAAGCTGAACCGGGCGGGGCAGCAGATGAAACACACCGATTGGGTGTTTCCGAGAACAGGAGGGCTGGGTGTTAACAGGAGGCAGGACGAGCCTCTAATGTTGGCTGGCTTGGCAGCACAAAGAGAACGGAGGAGGCGGGATTAGATATAAACTGAAAAAAGGATGGGGCGAGGCAGAGAAAAGGGTCAATTCCAAGCTATTTAAAGGAGCATGACAGGCCACCACAGACCCAGCGAGGGGGCGGGGCCACAGTGGGGACGACCGTTCTGATTGGACAGAGAAGAGATCGCGGGCCCGGACCTAAAGAGTTGATAAGCAGAACCTGGTGGGGAAAGACCGATGGAAACCGTGGGGTTGGGCTCCTAACATTGCTTGGACGAGAAAGGGCGGATCTTAAAAAGAGGCGAGGTCGAAAAAACAAAGTAGTAGAAATGTTTTGATTGGTCCGGGAGAGTGAGGGGACGGGGTTAAACGAGGGCGGGAGCAAGAAATGGAGAGTACCGTCATGAGAAATGGTACTAAGCTGCTGGACGGAAAGGGGACAGGGCAAGGGTTACAGGTACTGAGACCTAGTGAGAAGGGGCGGAGATGAGCGAGGTCTGTAAACCTGAGAGAGTCTGGTAGGTGCAAGGTAAAGTAGGGGCGGGACCGGGGCTGCAAGCTTGGCCTGATTAGACAGGGTTGGACTGGGAAAATTAGTGTCTGATGAATGGGCGGGACTGAGGAAGGTGGGTGGGGTCTAGGAATGGTAGAAAACGTCTTGAATGGGCTCTGGGAAGGCGAGACTAAGGGAGGAGCGAGGCTTTAAGGGACTTAAAAGCAACTAGGCTGGGGCGGGGCAGAGCTAAGAGAGGGTCAAGAAAAGGAGTTGGGGAACAGGTGCTAAGGCACCTGCAAAGAGAACAAAGCTACCAGGCTGGACGAGGTTAGGGGAACCTGGAACGGGGATCCTTGAGAACCAAAGAACCTGGGAGAGAGCCCTAAGGGTCAATGGGGACTTAGAGGGAGGGGCGAGAACTTCCAGCTGGTGAGAAAAAGAAAACGAGGTCTAGAAAACATCAGACTGTAGACAGGAGGTCTAAAGGATGGATGAGGCCTGGTGAAGAAGGAGCCCTAAGGAAGGAAAAGAAACCGAAGCGCCGGGAACCACAGTCTAGGCAGTCTAGTAATAGGCGGGGCCAATGGGAAAGAAGGAGGGATGAGATGTAAGTGTCCTGATGGGAGGGGAGAGATGGAGAGTGGGGCGGGACTAATGGAGGGCGGGGCCAGAACTAGGCCGACTGCCCAGGAGCAGGACCAGCCGTGTCCCCTAGGTTGGCCTAGCGGCCGGGTGGCAGGGCGCAGGCGCAGAGCTGGGGCGGAGCCAGCGGCTGCGGCTGGAGCTGCGGCGGAAGGAGAAAGTGCCTGTGGAGCGAAGGGGGCGGGTCAGGGGCTGCGGGGTTCTTCTCGCCGCTCCGTCCCTGGCCCGCCGCCTCCCTCTGCAGGTTGGTATCGCCTCCCTACCCATCCCCTGAACCCGTTTCTGTGTCTCTTTTTATCGCCTTTGGCTGAGTATTTGTCCTCCAGTCTCTGCCCTCACCTCTCTGAGACTCTGGCCCCTCTTCTAAGTCTTCCTTTCTCTGGGTCCCTGTCCCATTGCTCTCTGAATGTGTCCCCCTTTTTCTGAGTCTTTGCCCCTCGGTATCCTCTGTCACTACCGTGTCTCTGCCCCCCCCCCCCCAGTCTCTTTCTCTTGGTCTTTGTACCTTTTCCTCAGGAATTTATCTTTCTTTGTGTGCCACTATTCCCCTCTCCTTGAATCTCAGTCCCTCTTCTTTGTGTCTCTGTCCTACACTGCCCGCCACCCCAGGCTTTATTCTCCCACTCTGTGGATCTCTGCCCATTCATCTGGGTCTGTACCCATCACTCTTGTTATCTGACCTCCCTCCCTAGGGTCTGTGTCTTTTCCCCCTCTTCTGTCTCCCCACGCCCCCACTCCCTTTTCTCTTTCTGCCCTTTTTCTGTCTGTCCCCACCACGGGTCTCTGTTCCCTCACGGGGAATCTTTTTCATTCCCTTCTGAGTCTCTGTCCTCAGTCTCTCTGGGTCTTTGCCTGCATTTCTTTGGGATTTTGTCCCGCTGTCCTTCAGTCTCTGCCCCTGCCCCTGGATCTCTGTCCCTTTGTTTCAGGTTCCCCTCCCCCCGCCACCCCCTCTGACCCCCATTCTGGCCAGGACACCAGGCTGCGGCACTGCAGGGAGTTGCAGAAGTGGGACTTGTCCTGCAGACCAGAGAGGTAGTTTATTTACATCACCCCTCAGACCCTGGGCTCCCCAATGCCCCTGATTCAATATCCTCAAACCCCCGGCCGGACCCAGGAGGACAGAGAAAGAAAAGACATCGGGGCTTCCTACTCCTCTCTGCTCCGAATTCTGGTGTATCCCAGGCAAAAGCAGTGAACCCTGAGGTGAGGAACTGGGCTTGGGTTGAATGAGGCTCTGGGCAAGTCAGGGGTGGGGTTTGGTAGGCGGTAGGGACTGGAGATAGGGGCTAGGGTAAGGACTTAAGCCATCCACCCTTATCCTCCCCCTCCCACCAACTCTTCTGCTTTTAACAACAGCTAGGGGCGGGATCAAGTTACCAAATCAGCGTTTTTGCAAAGGTCAGGTGTGTGAGAAGGTGCAGGGGCTAGGGTAGAGGTGGGGTTGGATACGGGAGAGTATGGAATGAAACCCTGGATTAGAGATCGTGGGAGGCGGGAGGAGGCCGCGGGCAAAGATTAACATGGTAGTCCAGACTCCGTCAGGCCCTGGGAAATTGGATGCCGTCACTCCCTCATGGCTGTCCCCAGGCCTCGCCAGAGTATGTGGGGGATTTGTGGGTCTCGATTCTCCACCCATGCGGGGACGAGGTGAGTGAGGGGGATTCTGGAGGCATAATAAGGGCTCGGGTTACCGGGCATACAGTCCCACAAACAGACAAGTGGACTTGATTTTTTGGCGACTGGCACCAGGCGGCGGCAGGCCAATGTCTGTCCGCGTCTTTAGATAATTTCCGCATCCCTCCTCCTTCCCAATCGATCCTTTCCCAGGTCCTCCAGGCATAAAATTCCTGAAAGCTCCAAATTCCCACCTGTTATCCTCGGCGCTCCCTCCTAACTCTTCCTTGCTCATTCCCCAAGGCCCTGGAATTGGGGGGGTCTTTCCCTTCCTGACTTCTAAGATCTTGTTCCTCCGCCCCATTCCTATCAGTTCAAATTCAGGAAAGAGGGTCTCCCAGATACTAAAGCTGAAATGTAGGGACTCTGCTCACTATTCTTAGTCCCCCGAGACCCTCCAAATACCTTAGTCCCCCAAAAATCGTTACTGGGGGGGAATCTCTCTGCTGTAATCTTTGAGTCCCCGTTTCCCAAGTCCCCCGCCTCCACAAATGGGATTTGGGCTATCTTACCGCCCCGATCCCCTGAGCCTTCTACCCCTCATCTGTACTCACCCTAAGTCGAGGCGGGGCGGGGATGGGGGAATCCAGGGTTGACCGTGGGGGGAGGGGGGACCCAGCTCTGGGCAGCAAAAGGCTGCGGTGGGGGGAGTGACATCATCGCCGGAGGACGGGCAGCGCAGCTCCCACCAACTTGGGGGCTTCCAGCCCCGCCTTTATGGCGGACCCAGGGGTCCCGGAACCCAAGAGGAGAGAGGAGGAACAGGAGAGAAAGTCTGCGGGCACGACATCCCCTCCTCTTAGAACAAGAATTGGAAAATCCGTTACGACTTCAGCCAATCCACATTGCCACCTGTCGCTGCCTGCGCGACCTGCCGCCTCCCACGCCTGTTGTGTCTGCGCCCGCCCCCTCAGGCCGTGAAGCGGGCCCAGACTACAACGTCCGTGATGCTCCGCGGTTCCGGGCGCCGCTGACGGGAGGCCCTGTAGTCGAAGGGCTTCATGGGATTCGTAGTACAGGACCCCCTACACCAGTGTGAGCCCTGAAGGAAAGGACCCATACCGTTATCCTTTCTTTCCTTAACTGCAGAGAACCGGACACTAGTTTTTTCTCTCCAAAAATCACCCCTCGCCCTGGCCGCTTTGGCCCTTGGGTAGAGTGTCGGCCTGTAGATGGAAGGGTCGTGGGTTCAATTCCGGGTCAAGGGCACGTACCTGGGTTGCAGGTTGGATCCCCTCCTGGCGAGGGTCCTGCGGAAGGCAATCTATGGATGTGTCTCTCTGACATAAATGTTTCTCGCTCTCCTTCCCTCTCTCCCCCTTCCACTTTATCAAAACAGCAGTGGAAGAATATCCTCAGGTGAGGATTTAAAAAAATTTTTTTTTTTTTTAAAACGACTCAGGTTCAATGGAAATAGCGCTTTTTTATTGAGTAGCGGGCCCTCGGCTATCACTCGGTGCGCATGCGTCTAACCAGGGCGTCAACCGGCCAAGTGCGCCTGCGTGGACCCACCGCCTCGCGGTCCGGCACCCGGGGCACGAGCGCGCGCCAGCCCCACTCGGGCACCGTTCACGTTCTGGCGGTCGAAGACCGCCACGTAGCTGCGCAAGAAGACATCGCCGAGGATCCAGAGGGGCCCTTCTGGCCGAGGAATGTCCAGGGCCCGGAAGCCAGCGAAGCAGAGGCTGGTGCCTTGCCGAGTAATCTGCAAGGGGACAAGCCGGGCCACTGGGTGACACGCCCGCCGAGCCCGCTTCTTCCCTGGGAGCCAGAGCTCCGCCCCGCCCACCACCCGGGCACAAAAAATGTTTCTGTGGCCTCTACTCGGTCCTTGTGAGTGTGAGGTCTCACTCCCAGCTCCACCCTCTCAAACCCCCACCTTGCGCGTCACTCCGACCTCTTTGTGACAGCTGCCTACCTGGACGACGTAGTCCTTGGAGGTGAGGTTAAACCAGACACCCCCAAGGTTGAAGGACACCACAGGGAGCTGTGAGATTTTGGAGCACTGGATGATATCCTGAGGGAGAAGAAGAACTAGTGAAGATGAGGGATTCCTGCTCTGCTCAAATTCCTTCCATGGCTCCCCAGTGCCACACCTTACTGGGCAGCTAGGTATTCTGAGCTTTCTGTATCAGGCCCTGATCAAACCTTCTTTTCTTCTATCTGATTGTAGATCGAAAACTGGTGGCCCGTTTTGGGGCCCCCAGGTGTATTTAATTTGTCTTGCACTGGGTCTAAAATGTTTTAAAAAATTCATTACCATCTGTATGCCATGACGCTATTGGTTGTACCCTGTGGAGTCGGCTGCTGTGTAACCTTATACAAGTTACTCTCTCTGCCTCAGTTTCCGATCTGAAAATGTAGATGGTAATAATACCTACCACCCAGGGATGTGGTGTAAGAAAGATGAATTCGCTTGGGAAAATGCCTGACACAGAGTAAGTGCTATTGATATTTCCAAACCAGGGGCTTTCAAAGAATGCTCTCAGGTTTCTCCAACAAACCAGATCTGGCTTTCCCCACGTAGCAGTACTTGGCTGGAGCTGGGTAGTGGAGAGCTACCCTTTTGAGATTGATGGGGTATGTGCGCTCCAGTTCACCTCAATTCCAGAGGTACTAACAATACAATATTGGGCTATTATTACTAACTCAAGAAGTTTACCTTCCTGAAAAACCAATAGTAATGACCTTGTTGGGAAGGCAAGAAATGGTGAGACCAAGGTTGAATTAGACAGTGTGTAACACTCTGGACAGGAGAGATGATAACAACAACCAGGCATCAAAGCATTGTTCTAAGCACCTTAAGTGGATTTATGGATTAAGTTCTTATAACACACCTAAGAAGTATTAGTAACCCTATTTTAAAGATTAGGAAACCGAGCTCAGGGAATGTTCAGTGACCTGTCCAAGATAGCCCAGACCGCCAGTAACTGGCAGAGCTACACTCCAACCTGCAGTCGTAAACACTGATCTACCTGGTTCCTTTGTATGTAGGCTCATTACCGGCCTACAAACGTTCGAGGCGTTTAACTTGGAACCTCAGGAACTGAGTTTTCTCCACCCTCTCAGAAGCACCGAAGAGCACAGTGATGGAGTGATAGACATTCAGGTCTAGAACGACCCTGTCCCTGCCAGGTGCTGCAGGGCCTGAGGTGGAAGTGGGTGGCAGCTCTTAGGTTGCACCAAACCCCGTTCCGTGCTTGAGGCACACTTTGCGTGGCTTCTGTGAGCCGACACTCTCCAGGTGCTCCTTCCTGCCTCTGGCGGCTCCTGGCCTGGCCCCACTTTCACTCCATGTCGGTGTTCTTCAGGGATGTTCCTGGGGTCCCATCTGTCTTCTGGGAGGGCTCACCTCTTCATGGCTTTGACTACTGTCTGAGGGCTGATGACCCCTAAATGTGATGCCTGAGCTTCTACACCTCCCCCAGACGTCCCCAGGTCCCCCACCCAGTCCTGAATAGACCTGCGTCATCATCTCCTCCTGTCCACTGAGTCACAGTGTAGACACTTGGGAGGTGTCCTTGCTTCCTCCCACTTCCCCCAGCCTGTCACAATATCCCGTGCCTTCTGCCCTGGAATACCTCCTGGCTTCCTGATTTACCCTTGGACCCCAGCAACCTGTCCAGGTTCTGCCATTAAACCCCTATCAGCCTCCCCAGCCTACCCCCATCAGACACTGGGTCCTCACCACTCCCAACAGGGGGAATCCGCCGATAGCTCTCCGCAGGGCCCGGATCTCCTCAGAGGGTCCCGTGATGAGAGATGTACCTGTGTCCAGAATGGCAGCACAGCCCTGGGCACAAAGAGTCAGCCCTGTTCCCACCTCCACACTGTGATTTAGAAGGGGACAGTCATTAGAGCCGTGCCCTAGGAGTCTAGGCCTCCAGCCCCCTCCTCCCTCAGACCCAGGAGGCCAGGTCACCAGCTCCCTTCCAGCCAGGACACTGGAGACCACTCTCCAGTCCATCCCTGCCAACCTAGGAGGCCAGGTCCCTCACCGCTTCATTTGGACCTGCCAAAAGGCAGGCACTGTGACTGGCACATAGGTGAGGGGTGGGATGTAGTGTGCTGGGTCCGAGCCACCCAGAACCAGCTCTCCTCCATCGGCCGCGTCAGGGTCCCTGCAGAGACAGGGTGTGGTCATTATCACCAGAGTTTTCCCTGCCGGCCCCAGGGGTGGTCAAGGAAGGGACTTCCTGCCAGTGGGTTGGTTTCTGGGTTCTAGATGGGACAGTGAGATGCGGGCAGGGCCTGGGTGTTGGGACTGGAAGGAAGGCAGAAGTGAAAAGAAATGTAGCTTTTCTCGGTGGAGATTAGGGTTTTATGGTCTTGCAGGCTTCCTGGAGTGGGAGTGGGACTTCCTGATTTGGCTGTGGAAGGTAGAACTTTGGGGGATAAATTTTAGTAAGAGTTTATTTGAGCCCAAAATGACAGCATATGCCAGGGAGCAAGATCTCAAATGTTCCTTTTAGGAGGGGAATTGAAGTGGAGCACTGGAGTTTCTGACTTGGCGCTGGAAGGTGTATGTGATTGTGTTAGAGTTGGGTGGCTTCCTAGTAGATGGGGAGACTTTTCGATTGACATGTCTTGCAACACAGAGGCCATAGATATCCTGTGCCTGAGAGTGATGGGAATAGAGCGCAAGACGTTCTGGAGGTGGGTGAGACTTCCTGAGTCCGTGAGACATCGGAATACCTGAATGTGCATAGGATTTTCTACTGGTAGGGGATGGGCCTCGGGGAGGGAAGGTAGAAACTTCCTGAAAGAAGGGGGCGATTTTCTGAGCATAAAGTTGAGCTTCCTAAAAGGTAAGTGGGACTTCTTGAGTATTTGCTTGGTGAGGGCACGGAATTTCCCGATTTGGGTTGAAAACGTGGAGTCTTTGAACTGATGGTGAGTTTCTTTAGTATATCTTAAGGTGTTGTTTAGTTGGGGGGGGGGGTGGCGCTTATAAACAGGATTCAGGTTTCCTATATTGGGTAGGTGAACTTCCTGTGTTGGGTGGATGACTTCCTAAATAGGGAGCAGCTCAGTAATTTCCTGAGTGGCGGGTAGAACTTCCTCTATTGGGACCTCCTGCAGGCAGGCAGGGCTCCCTCCTCTGGGCTCGGACTCACAGGAAGGTAGACCCTCCCCCATTACCTGCTGAGGTAGAAGGAGAAGACAGGCTTATCCAGTAGACCTTGGTCCACCAGAGTATCCAGTGGGGGCCGAACTCCTCCCACAGCCAGAATGGGGAAACCGAGGCCCAATATCCCATCAAAGTGGGCAAAAACGAAGACCAAGCTGGGCTCCCACAAAGCCTCCCCAAAAGTGACTGATGCATTCATGATTCCCCCAATCTAGGGGAAGAGTCAAACAGGGTAAGTTATTTCTGGGAGGTCCCCAACCAAAGCCTGAACCCCAGATCTGGGGCATTTGGAAATAACTCCAACCACCAGGAAGCTGCACCTCCCCACTCAAGGGGGTCCCAGCCCCTTCACCCAGGAAGCTGCACCTCCACACTCAAGGGTCCCAGCCCCTTCACCCAGGAAGCTGCACCTCCCCACTCAAGGGTCCCAGCCCCGTCACCCAGGAAGCTGCACCTTCCCACTCAAGGGTCCCAGCCCCTTCACCCAGGAAGCTGCACCTCCCCACTCAAGGGTCCCAGCCCCTTCACCCAGGAAGCTGCACCTCCCCACTCAAGGGTCCCAGCCCCTTCACCCAGGAAGCCCACCTCCACGCGTGGGAAGCCCCGCTCATTTGCCCGGGAAGCTAAGTCTCCTCAAGCCCCTCCCTAAGCCAGATCATCTTAGACATTGGGGTTCTCTCAGGGTCAAGCCTTCCTGGGGTCAAAGGTCACCTACCGACAGCTTGTCCTCACTCAGGATGCCGCTCACCCGCCCAGTGCCATATTGAATGGCAAACTTAGTCCCATTGGGCGTGAAGGAGCTGGAGGCTTTGGCGTCGAAGCGGTGGTGGAACCCTAGGAGGTCAGAAGGTCAGGGATCTGTCACCGGGGGAGCAGAGTCTCCCTTGTGAGGGCGTACCAGAAAGGACAGGCACCTCAAAATCCCTTGGGAAACAAAGGCCTAGCCCCCTTCTCCCTTCAACTCTGCTCAGCCTTATTCTCCCCCATGAAAGCTCACAGCAGGGCAGACTGAAGAAGCTGCATCTTCTGGACGGGACCCAGAGATTGGAGGAGCCCGTGTCAAAGACAACGGAGAAGTTTTGGGGGGGCGTCCCCAGTCCAATTTTTCCATAATACTGCGCCTGATGGCAGAAAAAGGAGAGAGGGTGAAGAACTTGACTTGAGGGCAGGAGAGTGGGGCTCTGTGGGGCTGTGACTCACGTTCAGGAAATTGGAGAGAGGCACAGAGAAGGGCTTGCCCCCGGGGGGTGGGGCCCCCAACCTGAGGGGCTCTTCTGGGTTCCCCCAGCCCCTCAGGGGGTTCAGGGTCCTGCTTCCTGTGTAGACTCGGCGAAGAGGGATCCTGTGGGGAGGAGGGTATCACGGCTGGGAAGCCATCCTTCCGGGAAACCTATCACAGTCCTTCCCTAGTAGAATCTAACGACAACGCAAACATCTTCAGGGCCCTACGAACAGTCATGGGCATCACCAGAAACCCTACTATAACAACCTTCCGGGGAACCTTACCAAACACCTACCGGACCACGATGACAAATTTCCCCAAGACTCTATATGAGCAAACCAACCAAAACAGACCTTCCCCCAGAGCTCTCAGTGAGAGACTTTCCAAATAACGTCAAATAAACCATTCCCAGGGGACGGGGACGCACACAGTTTCCCAAAGACCCTGACACAAAACTCGCCTTTGTGAAAATCCAACCAAACCCCACCAAACCAACCAACAAACAACTTCACATGCTTTAGGTCATGGTGTTGGAGACTATTTTCCCCACCGTTGGAGGAAAAACACAAGCACCAAATCCCGATTTCACACTGTGCACTAAAATACATTCCAGCCCTGGCCAGTTTGGCTCAGCGGTTAGAGCGTCGGCCTGCGGTCCGGGTTCGGTTCCCGCTAAGGGCATGTACCTTGGTTGCAGTTTGTCCCCGGCCCTGGCTGGTCATGTGGGTGGCAGCCACTCGATGTGTCCCTTTCACATCGATGTTTCTCTCTCTCTCTCTCCCTTCCTTTCCCTCCCACTCTATCTGTACAAAAAATGGAAAAATATCCTCGGGTGAGGATAAAAAAAAAAAAAATACATTCCAGATAGATCAACAACTGGGTGAAAAATAAATAAGTAAGTAAGTAAGTAAGTAAATAAATAAACAAACGTGTCAGAGCATTGAGAGGATGTAAAGTGTTTAAATAACTGGGAAGAGGAAAAGCTTTTTTAAGCATCATACCAAGACCAGAAATCATGGGAATATTGATGACTGTGATGCTAAAATTGTAAACCTCTGTACTGCCTCTCCCCTGACACAGAACACTGTAAATAAGGTTAAAAAACAAACAAACAAACAATCTAGGGGAAATAATGACAAGCTCTGTGTCAAAGAGTTAATATCTCTAATATACAAAGAGCTTCCACAAATAAATAAGACAGTCCAGTGTTGGGAGACAATTTCCATGGGTCTCTCACATGTTTGCAGAGGCACTGACTTTCTTTGTCCAGACTGTCTTGTCTAGGATTTTGTGTAGTGAACAGCCTTGGAAGAGAGAGTGTCCCCCACCCTCCTACACCCCCCCACCCCAGCCCCAGACCAAAGGGCAGGCAGGTTGATGATCCATTATAAGGAATTCAAGTTCCCTAGGCTTAGGGCTCCTCTCCTGTAATGCACCTCACTGCCTGTGCGGCTATCACCTGGCTCTCTTCACATGGTGGGAACTGGGGCTCAGAAAACTGACACACACACTGGTATTCTGGCTACTACTCTCTCTCTGGGAGTAGCAGTCTTTCGTCTCTGACCTGGGAGTCTTGTGTCTTCTACAAGCAGCCATGAAACTGTATCGCGCTAATGTCACAGTTCTTGACATTCAGTAGAAAAATGGGCAAATATTCACTGTTGGCTGGGGGAGGGGGGTGTAGATTGATAAGACTTCCTGGAGCTTGGCTTAGTAATATGTATCATGGGCCTTAAAACTGACACACCATTGCCCGGCCAGTGTAACTCAGTGGTTGAGCATCGACCCATGCACCAAGAGGTCACCGGTTTGATTCCAGTCAGGGCACATGCCCAGGTTGTGGGCCCCAATCCCCAGCGGGGGACATGCAGGAGGTGGCCAATCCAAGTTCTCTCTCATCGATGTTTCTATCTCTCTCTCCCTCTCCCTTCCTCTCTCTCTAAAATCAATAAAGAAAAACATTGACACACCATTTGATCCAATTCAATTTCAGTTCTGGACATGTCATCTACAGGAGATCATGGGACAAGTGTGCAGAGATGTGTTTATAAGGATGTGTCTAATTTGGGGAACCGGAGACCACCGCTGGGTACAGCTCTGCTCAGCTATGGGACATGCAGACAACAGACTCCACTCGCCCGCTGACGAGGAGGAAGCAGCTCTCGGTCTCGGTGGTTCTCAGACTTGAGAGTGAAGCAGAGTCATGTAGAGCAGGGGCATGAGGGCAAACGTTTGTCAAGACTCCTCAGGCCGCTGCAGCCCCTCCATCCTGCCAGCACAGCATGAGAAGCAGCCACAGACACGTCCACGAATGAACGTGGCTGGGTTCCACTCAACTGTATTTTTTATTTTTTCATCCTCACCCAAGGACATTTTTGCATTTATCTTCAGACAGAGCAGGAGGGAGGGAGGGAGAGAGAGAGAGAAACATGAATGTGAGAGAGACACATCGACTGGCTGCACCCACACAACCCCAGCCAGGGCCGGGGTCGAACCACAACCGAGGTTTGTGCCCTCAGCGGGAACTGCACCCGGGACTCTCTAGTCTGGGGGCCGATGCTCTAACCGCTGAGCCAAACTGGCCAGGGCTCAACTGTATTTGCAAGAACAGGTGGCAGGCTGGATTGGCCCTTGAGCTGAGTGTTTGCCAGCCCCCGGCCTAGAAGACTAGTTAAAACTCAGGACGCTGAGTTTCTGCTGGAGTAAATCCAGATGGGAGCCCGAGAATCTGCATTTCTAACAAGTTCTGGGGCAGCATTGCCGCCGGTCCCAGGACAACACTCAGAGAATCACTCTGGACTCGGGAAATAACGGCTCTGATCTATTAGGTAATGGGCGGGTTAGCACACCCCACATGCAGGGCTACTTCTGCGCCCGCCCCGCCCTCCCAGCTTTGCCCCCTCCCCTGCATGACCAGTCCGAGAGAGAGAGAGAGAGAGAGAGAGAGAGAGAGAGAGAGAGAGAGAGAGAGAGAGGCTCAGGAATGTGAAGTGGGGAGACCGGTTCCTGGAAGCGTGTCCCCCCTCCCCCCATCCAGAGTTTCAGTGGGTGGGGAGGAGAGAGGAGAGGAAGAGAAAGATTTGGGTGACACTGGTCAGATGAGGGGGGGTCACTGGGGTCCCCAAAACTGGACTTATTGAGACCTAGACAGTTCGAAAGATGCGGATCTCAGGGAGTCTCCCTTTATATGTCACACACCTGGGTCTCCAAGTTAGGGGGCAGTGTGTCACATGTCTGGACACCCCAGTACCAGTTCACCAAAGCTCACCCAAGAACATGCACCCAGAGGAGCGGGAAGGGTTCCCAATCAAGGGCTTGGGGCTGGAGGATCTTGGACTAAAAGGGCTGGGGTCCTAGGAGACAGCGGAGTGGAGCCCTCAGAGGTGAGGACCCCGTTTGGAGCGACAAGAAGCCAAGAGGTAGCAGTCATGGGTCCTGGAGCACCAGGGTTGAGTCACTGAGCTGGGAAGCCCCAGACTTGAAGGGCAAGGAGGGGAGAGTCCGTCCCAGGTTTGGGGGGTGGGGGTCCCCAGTACCGGATCAGTGTGGCCCCAGCAGGCTCCACGGTCAGCAGCAGCGACAGCAGCAGCAGCAGCAGCGGTGGCAGAGACATCTTTGGGGCCCCGGGTGTGAGCCCAGGCGTCCTGCAGCTCGGTTTTCTTTTCTCCAAGACTCCGCCCTGTTCGCCACCCACCTCCGGGTTTCAGAGGTGACTGTGATCTCTGGTCTCGGTGGGTGACACAGGGAAGTGGGTAGTATTTTTTAAGGGATGTGCGGAGTATTTTTAGAGGGTTGCAGAAGTGTCATCCTTCGTCACTGGGGTGCCTCACTCCGAGCCTCGGTGGTGGCGATGGTGGGGGTCTCCTGCGTTCCCAGCCCCCATCTTTTAGCTGCTATCACTTTTACTGAAAACTTTCGCTTCCTTTTTCTGAGATTCATTAACCACAAGGGTTTACTTGAGCAAGAGAAGGGATGGGCAGGGGTGTTGATGGAAGGGCTGGGGGAAGGGAGAGAGGACCAGACCGGGCGTCCTCCTTCCCATACTAAGTGGGACCTCGAGACCCACCACCCTGTGTCTTATTGGGAAAATACCGAAACATAAAAATTGCCCATCGTCCCACCACCATCGAAAAAGCATAGCCCTGGCAGGGTAGCTTGTTAGTTGGAGCGTCGTTGAACTCAATACGTCAAGGTTGCATGTTCGATCCCCGGTCGGGGTACATACAAGAAGCAACCACTGGCCCTGGCTGGTGTGGCTCCGTGGTTAGAGCGTCGGCTCCGGGTTCCATTCCTGGTCAAGAGCATGTACCTGGGTGGCAAGTTCAATCCCTGCCCCAGTCAGGGCATGTGCGGAAGGCAACTGATCGATGTGTCTCACTTGGATGTTTTCTCTCATTCTCTCTCTTCCCCTCCCTCCCTCCCACTCTACAAAAATCAATGAAAAACACTGGCCGGTGTGGCTCAGCGGTTGAGCATCACTGGTTCAATTCCTGGTCAGGGCACATGCCCAGATTGTGGGCCCAATCCCCAGTGGGGGGCATGCAGGAGGCGGCCAATCGATGTTCTCTCTCATCGATGTTTCTGTCTCTCCCTCGCCCCTCCTCTCTCTCTAAACTTAAGAAAAAAAAAATCAATGAAAAAAATATCCTCGGGTGAGGACTAACCAAAAGAGAGAGAGAGGGAAAGGCAGGGGGAGAGATAAACATCAATTTGTTGTTCTACTTATTTGTGCATTTTGTTGATTCTTGTACATGACCCAACCGAGGTGGAACTGGTGATGTTGGTGTATTGGGATGATGCTCTAACCATCTGACCACCGGGCCAGGGCAGAAATGCACAGATCTGAAGGGCACAGCACTATGGCTTGATTTCTCTCCCCTGACATATTATTATGAAGATTTTTCAAGCATAGAGCAAAGTTGAAAGAATGATACAGTGAACCCCATTACCTACCACCTAGATTCTGCAATTAACATACTGCGCTGGATTTTCTTCATCATCACATATCTATCCAGCTGTCCTCTCTCCATCCAGCAACCTCTCTGTGATCATATACACTTCAAGTAAGTTGCTAACATCACATGCTTCACCCCTTCACTCCTAAGCATTTATATGATCAGTTTAATGTTTTTGTTTTGTTTTGTTTTGTTTTAAGCAAGAGGGAAAGAGGGAGGGAGAGAGAGAGAAACATCGATGTGAGACCGACATCTCACATCAACTGGCTGCCACCCACACGACCCCAACCGGGGACAAACTGCAACCAAGTTACATGCCCTTAGCGGGAACCGAACCCGGGTCTTTCTGGACCGCAGGCCAACGCTCTAACTGCTGAGCCAAACCGGCCAGGGCTGGATTTTTATGTATATACCCGAGTATCCACCACATAGATCAAGATATAACACATTCCCAGCTCCCCACGAGATTCTCTGTCACTGTCTCTGGGTCAGTGTTCCCCAAAGGTAACTAACACGCTGATTTCTATGACCACAGATCAGTTTCTCCTGTTCTTGAATGTCACATAAAATGAGTCACCTGGCCCGACAGGTGTGGCTCAGTGGTTAAGCTTCGACCCATGCACCAAGAGGTCACGGATTCAGTTCCCAGCCAGGGTACATGACCAGGTTGTGGGCCCAATTCCCAGTGAGGGGCATGCAGGAGGTGGCCAATCGATGTTCTCTCTCATCAATGTTTCTCTCTCTCTCTAAAATCAATAAAGAAAAAAAATTTTTTAAACGAGTCATATGAATTCATTGGTGTCTAGTTTCTACCACTCGATATTATGTCTTTGCAAGTCTTTAAAAGTCAGACTATATGGACTTACTTCATCCCCCCCCCAAATATTTAATTATTAAAAACTTCACACATCCAGCAAAATTGAAAGAATTTTACCATAAACACTCATGTGCCCGCCACCTGGATTTGACCATGAACACTTTGTTATGTTTGCTTTGTCGCATTTCTTCCCATCTCTTTATCCCAGTAGTTCTCAACTGGGGGGGGGGGGGCTTTCTCTCCAGGGGACATTTGACACTCTGGAGACATTTGGACTGTCATAAACGGGGTGGGTGCTACTGGAAACCAGTGAGTAGTGGCTCAGGAAATTGCTAAACATCCTAAAATGCACAAAACAGTCCCTCCCCCCGCCTCCAACAAAGAAGAATCCAGCCCTGAATGTTGATGGTGTCAAGGTTCAGAAAGCTTGCCTTGTCTGCTCCTCCATCCATCTCATTTTCTTGATTTCCAATTAAGTTGCAGACATCGGCTTCCTTCATTCCGTAAACAGCTACATAGTATTCCAGAATATAAATGTAACACTATTTATATAACCCATGCCTATGTAAGTTCCCTTTCTTTTTTTGGGTCAATCCTCACTCAAGGATATTTTTTCCATTGTTTAATTTTTTAAAATATGTTTTTATTGATTTTTAGAGAGAGAGGGAGGGAGAGGGAGAGAGAGATGGAAACATCGATGAGAGAGAACATCGACTGGCCGCCTCCTGATGCCCCCCACTGGGGATCAGGCCCACAATCTGGGCGTGTGCCCTGACCGGGAATCAACCCGGGGACCTCTTTGTGCATGGTCAATGCTCAACCACTGAGCCACACCGACCAGGGGAGTTGTTCCCTCTGTTCAATATTTTCTTCTTCTTTTTTTTTATCCTCACCCGAGGACATTTTTCCAATTTTTGTACAGATAGAGTGGGAGGGAGAGAGAGAGAAACATCGACACAGTGAAAGGGACACTTCGAGTGGCTGCCACCCGCACGACCAACCAGGGCCGGGGACAAACTTCAACCGAAGTACGTGCCCTTAGCGGGAACTGAACCCGGGTCTCTCCGGACCACAGGCCGATGCTCTAACCGCTGAGCCAAACCGGCCAGGGCCCTCTTTTCAATATTATAAATAGCGTTGCGGTAATGTCAGTGAATGTATTTCTCTGTGGACATGCTCCATAATATCTGTGTGTCAGTTTCTTTTATTTTTTATTTTTATACTAAGTATTTTATTTGTATGCTGCTGCCAGTGTATATAAAATAATCACCCTTGTGGAAGAGAAATTCATGAAAATTCAGAGAGTAGATGTTAAGGATTGACAAAAGCAGAAGATTGTATAGTATGGCACATTATAAGATAATATTTATACAGGCTTCCGATTTAATAACTCTGAATAGTCATCGGTTCAAGAAAAGTTGCTTGGAACACCCTCAAAGATTCATTTCACTACAAAAAGGAACAGACTTTCTGGGGTCTGAAGGGATTGGTACTTGAAGATACTCCAGTCAGCAGCGGGTCATGTTGAGCATTCTGCAGACAGAATTGTTGCAAACCTGCAGCTGCCTGGGAAACTTTCGAGCGGTTGAGCCTGGCTTCCAGCCGGAGTTCTTGAACCACTTTCTCCATAGCGGTAACGCTGGAGGAACCAGACATGGTCCACGCGAGAGCCGGGCAGGTTTGTCGGTAGTGGGTCCGCAGGGCCAGACGGCGGGGCAGCCTGCGTGTCAGTTTCTACAACTATAATCACTCCTGCAATGACTGGATGTAAGTTGTGGATTTTATACATATTGCTCAATTCCTCCCCAGAGAGCCGGTCACGATGTACACTTCCAACGACAGGGGTGATGATAACCTCAATTTTCCTACAGCTTTACCGGTGCTACATGTTACTTGATGGGTTAAAAAAAATACTTTTCACTGCTGTTGAAATGTTCATTTGACCTGATTACTAATGTTGAGCATTTCTCTCTCCCCATTTGTCCACTTGTATTTCTTCCTTCAGGAATGTCTTTCATCTTTTGCACGCATCCTTACAATCACACAGAACCACACACAGAGACAAACACACTTTGAGACTCTTTTAAAACTCAAATAATTTGGCTCTGTTCCTGTAGCTCAGTTGGTTAGAGTATCGTCCTGATACGTTAAGGTTGTGGGTTGGATCCCCGGTCAGGGCACATCAAGAATCATAAGTAATCCAATGAATGCATAAATAAGGGGAACAACAAATCGATGTCTCTCTCAAGTTTGTCTTATTTATAAACCACCCAGTCTGTGATATTTTGTGGGGGTTTTGTTTTGTTCTATGGTATTTTGCTATAGCAGCCCCGACAGATCAAAACACTGTATGATTCCATTTATTTAGGGTCAAGAGCAGACAAAAGGATGCTATAGTGATAGAATTTGGGGTAGCGGTGATCCTTTGGGAAGGGTTTGACTTGAAGGGGCCACAAAGGAGTGTTCAGGGATACTCGACAGATTCTCTACCTCAGTCTGAGTGGTGGTTATGTGGGTGCATACATCATAAAAACTCACCGAGCAGTACATTTAAGATTTCACATTTCACTTTAGGTAAGTTTTACCATAGAAAAAATGTTTTGAAAAATTAATACAGAGCCCTGGCCGGTTTGGCTCAGCGGTTAGAGCGTTGGCCTGCGGTCCAGAGAGACCCGGGTTCGGTTCCCGCTAAGGGCACGTGCCTCGGTTGCAGTTTGTCCCCAGCCCTGGTTGGTCGTGCGGGTGGCAGCCACTCGATGTGTCCCTTTCACGTCGATGTTTCTCTCTCTCCCTCCCACTCTGTCTGAACAAAAAATGGAAAAATGTCCTCGGGTGAGGATAAAAAAAAAAAATTAATACAGAGATGATGGCCAGAAAAACTACTGAATGTTTACATTATTACAACTCTGTAGATGCTATCCCATTTATAAGAGTTGGAAAAACCTCAAGACAAGCAGACTTGGATGGGTGTACTCGTCAGCTCATGCTGCGTAACAAAGCACCACGAAACTTAGTGGTTTAAGACAGAAATAATCACTTGCTATCTTT